GTTTATATATGTAGCAATTGAAGCAACTGGTGCTCAACTTGCCTGTGAGAGTCAACTGTCAAAATGGGGGCACTTGTGTTGAAGGTGATAATATGTATACTTGTGAATGTCCCGTTGGTTTCATGGGAACACATTGTGAAGAAGGTGAGACAAATGTAATATTTTGATGTCTTAACATTTTGTTGAATTACTGCCATATTTTGATTGCTGTTTTGGCTTAAATTTTTAAATATAGTAATTGAGGCAACTTGTGCCCAACTTGCATGTGATAGTCAACCTTGTCAAAATGGGAGCACTTGTGTTGAAGGTGATAATATGTATACTTGTGAATGTCCTGCCGGCTTCATGGGAACACATTGTGAGTTGAATGTAATAAGTTCTTGTTCTTTTTAAATTATGTTGATTAATTACCATGTTTTTATCATAATATTTTTTCTTGCTCATTAAATTGTAGCGATTGAAGCAACTGGTACTCAACTTTCCTGTGAGAGTCAACCTTGTCAAAATGGGGGCACTTGTGTTGAAGGTGATAATATGTATACCTGTGAATGTCCTGCTGGCTTCATGGGAACACATTGTGAAGAAGGTGAGTTGATTGTATTATGTTGATATTGTTTTAAAGTTATTTTGTTTTATTATGCTGTTTTTATCATAATATTTGTTCCTGCTCATTAAATTGTAGTGATTGAAGCAACTGGTGCTCAACTTGCCTGTGAGAGTCAACCTTGTCAAAATGGGGGCACTTGTGTAGAAGGTGATAATATGTATACTTGTGAATGTCCTGCTGGCTTCATGGGAACACATTGTGAAGAAGGTGAGTTGAATATATTATGTTGATATTGTTTTAAAATTATGTTGTTTTAGTATGCTGTTTTTATCATAATATTTGTTCTTGCTCATTAAATTGTAGCGATTGAAGCAACTGGTACTCAACTTGCCTGTGAGAGTATACCTTGTCAAAATGGTGGCACTTGTGTCGAAGGTGATAATATGTATACTTGTGAATGTCCTGCTGGCTTCATGGGAACACATTGTGAAGAAGGTAAGTTGAATG